CGCCTACTGCATGGAAATCAAACAAGGCGTTTTTATGTGCTTTATTTGTAAATATTTTATCTTTTATCAGAAAGCCGACATTAAGCAAAAGCGCCTGCTTGTGGTTATGAACATCCGATATGAAACATTGAAAAGTATTGCAACTGAAGTGCTCGTTTTGAGATCTTATCAATTTAATTGGCGAACAGGTGCATTTATCAAATCGTTCAAGCAATATTTCTCGATATGTGCTCTTAACTTTAATGTTAACATTTTATCAGCCAACACGAGCTTCAAATTGCTTTTTAATTAATCTCGTTTTGCTGTATTGATTTGAACGTGTATGGCTTTAAAATGTTGAGCAAATCAAATGATTGATCAACTTATCGAGTGATTGATCGAAGCGCAGATTAATTTTGAATTTCAATGTTTGAATAACCAACAAAGAAGGTATCTGGTTATTATAATCATATTTTATATATAATATATAATATTATATGTATTTTAACTCAATGGAGAAACTTCACAAATGGATCTGGATAGATGGAAGTATGGAAATATTTTGCATTTTGTACTGCAGGAAATTAAATTAAGGAAATTCGAAATGCATAAAATTGCGATTTTATAAATAAATGTTATATTGAATATTTAAAATTTTAAATTTATTAATGTATTAATCAAATCTATATTTGGCCAGAACTAAACTTAAGTTTCTGGGGCTCCCCTTCTTCAACACACTAGGCGATATATCTAGTACTAACATTGTCCAGATTCTTGCCATTATGAATGCCTCTGGCTGGATTGATCATGTTGAGGGAGCATTAACTGGACTTGATGTACGAGACTGGAGAAGACGTGCACATAGAAGAGACGCCTGACGAGACATACTGCGTCAGGCCAAAACTCGGTAACGGGTTGTTATGGTCAAATAAGTAAGTATGTTAAGTAAGGGATTTATCGTCCAATTTACAATATTTCATTATGGCAGGCATGCGTCTTTTTTTCCTACATTTTGGCTGTAATAGCATTATTTTTTAAGTCAATTTTATTGTTAAAAGGAATAATATTCACTTTTATTATCTATTCCATTTTCAAGACTACATTGTAGATTATTCTATTATTATTCTATTAAAAAACTACAGCCATAATCTAATTAATAGAAGTAGTTAGCTTCTGATGAAATTACCAAATTTTTAGTATATTCCGGTATTACTATTATTCCTATCTATTTATGTTCTAATCACAATTATAAAATAACACAAAAACTTATTGAGACTAAGATAGAATAATGTCAATACACTCCTCGAAATAGTCACACTTTAATGAATCTAATATTTATATATAAATATATGCAAATACCATATAACTATGAACAGAGGTCAAAAGTATATTATAGATTTTTTCAATAGGTCAGCAAAAGCAATGAATCATGAATAAATTCTATTAGAACTATTAAAACTAATGGTTCTGAATTACCTTTTTGGTCATTTCAAATAAGGTATTTCAAGCTATTTCCTTAATTTTGATTTTCAAGAAAAAAATGTGAAAAATAGTAAATAATAAGAAAAATTATTAGAAGTCACTAGGATGAGACATAACCTGTATAAATTGTTTCTATTTTTATACTAATGTGTATACTATACTTAAAGAATATACACATTAACTAGGATAAAGTAAAAGTAATCCTAGTTAATGTGATGATACATTACTTTTGAATGCAATCAACACCTACTAAAATTCCACGTCAGTAATACTCCCATAGAAAGGAGATCACTCTAAAACCCATGAGCTTTACTTTTCATAAAATCTACCCCTGAGCAAATCAATTACGCATCAAATAAACTTAGACTAAAAACGACCTATAAGCAAGCACAAAAGAGGTTGACAAGGCATTGTACAATAGGGTAGGATACACAAAGGAATATGGAGATAGAAAAAAGTAAGGTTAAAGGTACAGGAAGGCATGTTGTCTATTAAATAGTTACAAGCTAAACCTCAAAAATAAATTACTTATTTATTAACAAATAATGACTTGTATTCAGACAGAAATGCATATGAGAAGACTTCCAAACTCAACTCAAACTTTAGTAGTATCAATTCCAAGTGCCCAAGAGGGTCGTGAAGCCTTCTTGGTGCACAATAGATCCACGGAAGTACATAGAGACCTCCGCTTAGAAAGTTAAGATTTGTATTGTATATGTGTAATAATGCATTAAAACTTTTTAACGTCAGTGACTTTCGTATAACCGCTACTATCTTCATTTGGCAAATAATAAATTAAAAATTTGCCGTCATGTTGTCAGTGAGCTTAGACACATAGTTCAACATAATATTAAATGAAAGTCTTGTGGTTACTAACTCAAAATTTAGCCATTAGGGAATAAAATTCATACTGATCATTATCCAGGAATATTTTAAAATGCAAGGAAGCTATGTTCAGACTACCCTGCAACTGCAGACCTTGTATATACTGGATTCCTGGTTATAAAGGCATAGAGAGATATGAGACAGTTGATGCTATTGCTAAAACTGGCGTAAGACTTTTAGAGGATAAAACGATCAAAGTACTTAGATCTCTAAAACAAATAATAATAACAAATAATAATATGTTAATAATAACTAAGCATATGATAAGGAGAGCAAGGGAACTTAATCACCTGTAGAATATCTAGCATCATGTACTGACATATATATGAGGAAAAGTATGCCGAGGATGTTATATGCTCTGACCGAAGGGACTGTAGAACATTAATTGGTGTATTGACAGGTCACTGTTTGGTCGCATCACATGCTCACAAACTAAACTTAATTAGCAGCGACGCTTGCAGTAAATGCAATGAGCCGAATGCAAAGTGATCCCTGAATCATTTTCTGTGTAACTGCCGGGCTCTCTCAAGAACTCGATTGAAATACTTGGTGCTGTCAATTTTACAGGACTGGAGCATATACCTGAGGTTTCTGTTATTTCTTGAGAAACACAATTGAGAGTACTACAAAAAGAAGAAAATAATATCGAAGTAAAACTCAATTGGTAGATCTTAGCTTCTGCTCTTTAGAGTATCTCCGTCTTTGTTAATTCAATTGTTCTGATTTAAAATTTTTCTTAAAGTTCTTGCGTAAGTTTATCAATAACTATTAAATTTCATATAAAATCACTTTAAATAAATAAATAAAAAATATAATAAACAAAGTTTATATAAACAACACACAAAGCATATGCTCATAAAAGATTTGTGGTGTGTAATTTCAATAATAACAATAAACAATTTTTAATCACTGATATCACTACTCCGAAATCAATTCTTCAATTAATTTGTGTTTGATTTTTTTTTCAATATAAGAAAAAAAAATAAATTTGATTAAAATAATAAATAATTAGGCAGACGCTTCATTCTTTAAACAAATATTTGGGTTAGATTATCGGTTTTGCTGATAACGTCAATCTTGGATCGTCGCGTAATTCTTATTATTTAATTTATAACTCATAATATTTGTGATTATGACTTTCCAGTAATTTTAATTCACATGGGGTTTTGTGTAGTTTTCACACGAGATACATCAGCAGACGATCCATAAACATTTGCATGGAAAATCATAAAAATCGAAGAACAGCAAAAAAGATGAACTTTTCTTTTCAAAATATGTGATCGATAAATAAAGTAGAAATCAATAAATTGATAATAAAATAGACTTTACTTACTTTATTGATTTCAACTCAATATAAATTGATTTATATTAGAATGCATGAGTATACTAGAGATCCCTAGAAGTACGAATAATGTACATTTTAATTGATGACTAAACAAATGTTTAGTCTTCGATTTCATTCATATTTAATGAATTTAATGAATGTGGTATCTCTTGCAATATGTATTTACCAGCTCTCGAAGAAAGGACACCAGAACACCTGATGTATCCATGTCCAGGTTTGGCTAGAACTAGGTTTAAGTTTCTAGGGGCACTCTTCTTGAACACACTCGGCGATATCTCTAGCATTAGCATTGGTTATATTCTTGCCTTTATAAATGCCTCTGGCTGGTTCTAGCTTGACTTTCTGTCTACTAAACTTTATATAGATAGATGAGAAATTTTTATAGATTTTTTGTGAGAGAAATTTTTAAAATATAAGAAGAGCCAAAATATAACTTTCTTCTTTTCTAAACTAAGTATTTTACTTACAAATTTTTACATCTGATTGGCACAAAAGGTTGCTATTGAAATAAAATTTAACCTTTAACCTTGGATTAACCTTGGTTAAGAAGATTAAAAGGTTGTACTAGTTTGGAGATAATCTATTGCATTTCAAGAAAATGACGTTAACTGTTTAATGGATGGTTTAAAGACACAAAGTTGCTTCATAGCAGAGTTCATATTACTTTATAGTTCTTTGCTTGGATTCAATTTAATATAAAATCCATTTATCCCTTCTAAAACGTTCCAGATGATTAGCCTAGAATAGATGTAGTGTTTTTATTTAAATGTTAAAATATATAATAAACCTTTTAGTTACGTTAGGATACCAGTGTTCCGTTTTCTTAACTGATTCTTGTAAATGTATATCTATTTATTCGTTGCAAGTTTACTTAAATTTAATAAAAAATATGCCTACCCTTTAAAACATCAATTTTTGAACTTCCACCCTATTTTTATGATAAAACCAAATATCTAACAATAGACCTAACATATGATCTATGAACCAATGACCTATGAAACGGGTCTATTGCCACAACACAATATATAAAAATGAATGAATTGTACACTTGCTCTTATTTAATATTATTGAATACGAAAAATAATACTCTTAAATAATACTCTTATTTAATATACAATAACATCAGTTGCAATAAATTAATTATATTTATTATTATAATTTATTTTTTTTTAATTGTTAATCACTGTTGAAATTCGCAAAAGCATAAAACGCTTTAGACTTCAAATGGTTTTTAAAGACATGAAAACTATAATTTTTGAGTCTAAACGTATATATGTAATTGAAGATAAATTATATTTTTATTACGTACGTATTGGGTAATATCAGCAGCTAGTGTCTTAATGATATTATCACTTGTAATTCTTGAATTGATGGACTGCATATTTTAAAACATATTTTTACTAAATTAAGTAATAAGTTTAATACTTTATGTATACGAATTTTATTTTTATATTTTTATTTTTTATTTTTATATAATATATACTTATGTATATATATTAATTTTTTATGGATTAAATTTTATTAAATTTTTCTCACAAATAATATATTTCAAATTTCTTTTATTTTAAATTATTTTATATATTACTTTTTTTATTATATATGTTAAGTATATCTATATATTATTTTAAAATTATTTTATTATATATTATTTTAAATATCACAGTAAATAATATATCACAAAAAAATTGTTCACAAGTGCTTTTAATCATATTAAAATTTTTTATCAGTTTTTTTATCAATATTATTTTATTTAAAAATTTTAAAAAATTTTTTTAATTAATATTTTATTTTTATTCATATTATTATCAACCAAATAATGTGTTTTATTTAATATATATCTTTTTTATGGGACATAATTTATGTAAATCGAATTCAATATAAATTTTACAAAATTTATTTGATTTATTAGTGTGCATATATTAATTAGTTGTCTCGATTTAGTTTGTTCTAAATTTCACTTTTTGTACTTAATTATATTTGTAAAGTATCTCAAGGTGAACGAATCGTAACTGATATGCGTACTTCGAACCGGCCAGCGAATGAAATCGAACTAAAAACTGCGTCTGACAATCTACAAATCACTGACCGTAGAAGTCGCGAATACAAGCCAAGAATCCATTCAGTTCGTTTCCAAGATTGAACATTTCAATTCAATTAAATTCAGTAATTGAAATTGAAAATGAAATTAAATAAAGCAGAGCAAAAACAATGCATCCAACGAATAAAATAATAAAACAATAAAGCAAAAAACAATCAAATCGAAGGCATCACAAAGCAGATACAAATTTCTATGAACGCGAGCACATTTGCAGATACAAAAACAGATACGATTACACTTCATCGCTGGTTTGTGCTGATTTTTGTTTTAAGAATTTTACTCAATAAACAAATTCCTGGGCTTGAAAGCAGACATTCAAAACGAGTAGAGACAATAGCCGGCGATGGGCTCCGATCGAACGGCAAACACCTACAGTGCAAGTTGATATTTCCTATTTTTTTTTCTTCTTCTGTGAATGCAGTGCAGTGCAGTGCAAGTATTCGTCAGATAAAGCGATACTCTTTTTACTTTGGTTTGCATTTCTCAGATAATATTTTTTTAATTTTATTATAATTTGTCTTTTTCACTTGATCTTTTGTTTGTTAGTTGTTATTGTTGTTATGATAAGCTTAAGGCAATTATTATTGAGAGCAACGAATGAATACATTGTTGAGTATTTTCTTTGGAATAAACATATAAGATTTTAATCGAGACTAACACGAATAAAATTATCAATTTTCTACTACTTCAATAGAATAAAATTTGCAATGAAATCATGTGGACACGTGCATGAATATAAGGCATCTACATATGAGTGAGTATATGTGTATAAGCTTAACTTCACTTATATCTCAATATTGTAGATAAATTTATTAACGGTAATTTTTGAAAAAAAAAAAATCCTTAACCTCAGCATATATAGCTTAGGTTAGATTGGATTGGAGTGGCGGCCTTGTTTAAAAAATCCTTTAAATTTAAATCCGTATCCAAGTAATATAATAGGTGTTGGTAATCAGAAAGTTTTTGAATTATTCTTTAAAAAACTGATTTAAATACAAAAAAACTTTTCCCTGGCAACATTCTATAAAGATTCGAGATTAAACTTTCGTCCAAAAAAAATTAAAAATTATGTGGAAAACAGGGAAGGGGTTAATTTACCACAGATATAGGGGGATACGAAGAAATTTGGCAAAAAAACCTGTTCCACAAAAAAGAGTTCAATTACAAAGCAAAATTTCCGTGGTCCTTAATAATAATAATAAAATTAATTTCAGAGCCCATTATTTCAACTTAAATGGGAGCTACTCCAACCAAATCGAACCTAAAGAACATATTTTATATGTTAATTTTTATTATATTAAATAAGCTTTCGTTTAATATGCAATATGTACTTAAAATTAAAAATCTTAGCATATATTACTTTTCGAATGGTTTTTAATTTGGTTCGTATATCCTTCCTTTAATACCAGATATATATATAAGTATTAAGACTTATATATAGTGGAGATAGTGGAGTAACATTAGCATGACTTTCTCAGCATTACGTTCCTAGATTAGGTTCTATACATAAGAAAGAACAAATCATGCAACAAATAATGCCTCTACGAATAGAATAGTTTTGAAATTTAACAATTAAAAATAAAAAATATAATTAATTAATTAATTCAATTATTCTACAGCTGGTTTATGATTTCGTTCAATATATAAATACAGCAAGTAAAATTGTTAATAAAAACTTTCATAGCAAAAGTAACAAACTCCAGCAAAAATATGCGAACATAAAAAGTCAAGTACGGCTTTGGATCAGTTGGTTAAGGTGCGCTGATTCTGAGCTTCATATTTGGCAGGACCCGAGTTCGATTCCTGGTACTTGCAGTCTCAAAAATAATTATTTACGAATAATTAAATATAAGAATTATTTCCAAGACCACTGATGAAGGGTATTTGGCAATACTCGAAACAGCTGTATGGTCAGCCAAAAATTCAATTAATTAAAATAATTTAAAAAATAAATTTTTGTTGTTGTTTCACTTCTGTTCGAAAACCTCTTTAT